GGTGTTGTGACAGCGCGACCATGAATATCCATACTCATAGCATTAGTAAAGACAGCAGTTCCAAGATCACCAGCAACAGCATCAGTACCGAAAGGAATAGCATTTACAACAGCTACAACAGTCCAGAAGCTACTGATGCTGCTGCCTCTGTCGCAGCTGCCACTGCTGCTGCGCCTGCTGCTGAAAGGCATATGTTTGGCGAGCGCCACAAGGAATGTTACCTACGACGACTGCTGCTACGGCTACTACTGCTCCGGCTAGTGCAGACGAGAGAGAGAGAGAGAGAGAGAGAGAGAGAGAGAGATCTCCCAGGCAGAAGAGCGGGAGAGAGAGAGAGAGAGAGAGATGGGTCCAATTCGAAGGTGCCGACTTTCACAAGCAAGCGCCGATTGGGATGATCCTTGCCTTGACATGCGTAATCTGTTGGTTGCATGCGACACACGAGCAGCGGCCATAGTCAGCCCAAGCTGCCTTCGTGCTGCCTGTGCTTACCTTCGCAATAGAACCTGCGAACGACCACCAGTCATGACGGGGAATTGTGGTGTAAGTTCATAAGTACTTCTGCAGGCCACTGGCGCAGATATATGCCAAACCAGGGCTCTCTTAGCCTTGTTGTTATTTTGCTACCCGGTCACTCTGCAGTTTGGCACTCCGTGCCCGAGCACAGCGGGTCAAAAGTCATGTCCATTGCTCTGCAGCCTTGGAGAGCAGAGGATCTATCACTGGGCCGAGGGCATGCGCCAGTTTGCTGACCACGAGACCCTTGCCTAGGTTGAGTTGGAACCTAGCTCGTTGGAGGGCTTCTTTTGAAGGGTGGCTGATGATGCAAGCTGTGCGGTTACAAAAACAACTTAAAGGTTTTGGGTTGAGCTTCGTAGGGTCAGGCTCCATGCATCTTTAGAAATACTCACTTCAAGGGAATCTCAATTTCAAGTCCCAGCTCTCGTAGGCATTAGGCATCGAAGAGCAAAGGATCATCGTGCTGTCGCAAGTTCTGGCATCGCCTCTCACCGTCGGCTTCACGGAAACTTTGGCCGCAGTATGCGTTTGCAGACGCTTTGGGGTAAAATCCTGCACCTGTCTTCTCGTAAAGCCGTAGACCCCCAAGGCCCTGAAGTCTTCCATTGCCTTCGGTTGAAGGTTTTGGGTTCGAGTTTAAGGTTTAGGGTTTTGGGCTTGGGACATTCCTCATGTACTTGGTCCGAATGTGAAGGTACGAACGACCGGAGCGGCAAGAACCCCCTGGCGTTTTAATTCACCAGGGATCGGTGTGACGGAGCCAGAGCCTTGGTGTTCAGGATTTCTACAACGTCACACTTCTGAAGTTCAACGGCCAGCAGCCCAAAAACCTGGAGAACCTGATCAACCTTGTGAAAGCCTCCAAGGCAGGATCATACCGTTCTATACTCTTCTATATTGTACACTATACAGCTTGTGCACACGATCTCTAACATCGTATACCTTAATATAAAGATGCAGTGAATTCAGAATTACATGCAAGAGTATGAGACGATATGAGTCGAAGCATGCGACAAGTAATATCGATCTCACTATCACAAGGAAGAATACTATAGCGTGCTAACTGAGAGACGGAAGACTTCTTCCAGGTGTTCATGACTAGGTTTCCGCGCAAGATTGGACTTGATGTTTTCCAAGACTCTCTGAGACCTCGCCCCCCAAATCGGGTACTCCTTTGTGCATAGTCTGGGACGCACAGGAATTGGAAATTTCCGAAGAGTGGAAGCCGAGCTTCAGTCAGGATGAGTACCTGACCTTCGAGATAGAGCGGAACAACTCCATCATCCTTCCCAGGACAGGGTTTGGGGTTTAGGGTCCCTCATTATCTTCCATCCACGGAATTTGTTGCGGGTTTATGTCAGTTTATGTGGGGTCTGGGCTCTGCTCAGGGTTTCGGGAGCACCTCCACCATCCTCCCGAGGAAGGAGGCGCTGAAGCAGACGGCCAACATCCTGAAAGAAGCCCTGCTGCGATTCAGAAGACATGGGAGTTTCCGAAAATAGGGATACCTTACTTTGGGGTCCTTATAGTAAGGATCCTGCTATTCAGGGTACTATATTAGGGCCCCCACATGATGTTACACACCTTGAAGTGTGCCACCGGAGTCCTCAAGAGGCCAAATTTCGGGTTTCGGGGTCTCGCCTGGGCAACTTGCATTGCGCCACGATTCGTGAGACGTTCTTGGTTTGATCGTTTTTCGGGGCACCCGGCAGTTCGAAGAGGCCTGGATGCAAAAAGGGTTTAGGGCTTGAAACGGAGGGTCCGAGGCAGCGTCCGAATCCGAACAGGCCCCTTTAGGAATTGGGATGCGAAGGCAGGAAGATGTGCCGGTATCGCGTTTAGGGTTGGGGGGTGGGTCTACCGGAATCTTATGCTATAGCTAGGAACAAGGACCCCCAAAAGAGCATTGGCAGTTATTTATCATCGCACTTGCCCGTTCGGCTATGCCGCAACCTTGATCAGGAACAAAATGTCTCGCTCCTGAGGGCAACTTTGAGCCTTGGGTGTAGGGTTTATGGCCATAACTTCCGTGCCTCTTTTTCGGATGCTTGTGTATTGGGGAACCTTTGGGGCTTGGGGCCGCGCCAAGGAGAACATGATTCCCCACGACCGCTCTGCACCTTCCTTGCATTCAGACAGACCTGTGCGATTGCTTCTAAAATATTCTCTGCTGCATGCTGCTCCAAAGAACTTGGTAAGTAGGGGGTGTAATCCGGACATCCAGCGATTTGTTGTATGCAATATGCCCAGGTCCACTACAGGCGCAGCTAGGTGGACATCTGCTCGGACGACACGAGAAGCTGTCTGAGTTCAGCATCCCAAGGTGACCTGTGAAGGCCAACTGAAGCGGGGACACCAAGAAAGAAGGCCACTCGAGGCCTTGCGGCGCGAGGTGGAGAAAAAGGGGTTGCACAAGAGCAAGGAGCACAGCCAGCTGTAATGATGCCGCAGAGGTGGAAATCCTTGTTGTGAGCTGATTATAGTGAACCTCAGAAAGTTGGAACATGGTTTTAGGATGATCGGTGCTGGGGTCCCCTATATACTTGACCTTAAGGGCACTCCGATAATGATGTTCCAACTTTCTGGCTTCTACTGCAGTTTGAAGTGCATGAGGCCGTGGCCACTGCAAGTCAGCTGGACGAGAAGAGGTTGGTCTCCAGCGGAGCCTGGCCCGCAGCCCCAGGCCCCCCATGAACGAGGAATGACGAGGAGGAGATGGTCATCCTGAGCCCGAACCGAAACTCTGTGACGGGTGAGAAAAAAGGCAACTCAAAAGGAAAGAAGTGTACATTTTCAATATTTCCAACACCCCCCCAAAGCTTGAAATGCTGATGCTTTCGCTATCTTTCGCTCGCATCAAGCTTTGCAGCTCCAAGGACCGGACTCTTACCAAGAGCCCCTCGGCGGCTGTCCAGAGTCCTTGGAGTTCCGGGTGTCTACGAGACTTTGGGGCGCGTCGGCCCAGAAACATCCAGAAACCCTGTGGGCTTTTGACAACGGTGCAGAGCACCACTCAGGCGACGTGGATGCCAGCGATGCATCTTGCCACCATCGGATCCTAAGCGTCACTTGCCTACACTCAGCGTTAGCCGCGGGAATCTTCCGGGTCTTGTAAGGGCCGAAATGACAGCAGTCCCATGTGACTGAGTACCAGCTGCATGGCATCACAAGCAGCAATACAAGTAAATTGTGAGAAGCCTCAGTGGTGGTGGTTGCGGTGGTGCCTCTGGCTGTGGTGGCTGTGGCAGTAGCTACAATAGAGCAGCAGCAGTAGGAGCAGGCAGGAGCAGGAGCAGTCCCAGCCCCACTCCCAGTCAGAGTAAGAGTAGTTGCAGGAGCCGTCACAATGGTAGTTCTAGTAGTGGTGGTAGGAAGAGTAGTGTACTGTAGCAGCAGAAGCAGAAGCAGTTGTCGTAGTAGTCGTCGTAATCGTAGTCGTATTTGCCCTCCAGCGCTACCACCGCCACGTGGACGACGCTGCTACTAGTGTTCCTATTACTTTACAGTACTTCTGCGGCTGCTGCTTCTGATATACAGCTGCTGCCGCTGCCGCCTGATGCCGCTGCACGACAACGAGACGATCAGTACCACTACCTCCGCGACAACTAGCACCATCACCACGACTACCGCCACTGCTTGCTCCAGCTATACTGCTGCTCTCGCTGCTACTACCGCTGTTGCTACACCTTGTGCTGGCATACTGGCAAGCTCACCCATGTGAAGAAGCATAGGCAGCCCTCCGACGAAATCGAGAACGTTCATGCCTTTCACGACAGCAGAGCATTTTTATGAGTGTCTCAGGGTTACGGTGAAACCTACAACCTGCGAATTTCTCAAGGGGAACGTAGTTGCACGATTCTTTGTATTCGGCAACCATTGCATGGGTCGTAGATAGGTCTCGTCATGATGTTCTCTTGCAGTCTTTGCAGATCTACACCAGCGTCGTTCCGGGGGTTTTGAGCTCGATGTCGTTCTGATCTTGCGGAGAGAGTTCGTCAGCTTCCAGTCTTCCGTCCGGGGTTCTGAAATACAACACCCACCAGTAGTCGAAGCAAGCAAAACCTCCGAAGCCCCACCCATGCAGGCATGGCCTGGGATTTGATGGGAATGGCAGCTTGGCTTCGGAGCGAGAAACGATCCGCAGCATCTGAGTGGTGTCAACAGGAAGAACATTGACATGAACTCTCGGGCTTGGAGAGGTTCGTCGGAATCAGACCGGAGGTGAAGCAATTCTCGGGGTCTGTGGTGTGGAGTGTCTAGGAGATTTCACAGGCCCTTTCTTGCAAGCTCAGTCGTCCCGGGCTCCGTGCCGAGGTGCTGCTCCTATACGCCCGTGCCTGAGGGAGGGCTGGATGGGTGGGTGGGATGAGTGGGACATTTGCGGCCTCGTTGAAGATTCTCCACAACCCTAGCTGCGAGTCAGTGTAAGCTGCGGTCACGGCCATCCCCATCGGTTTCTGTGACAAAAGTCGACTGAGGATATGATTGCGATACCCATCTCTGCTTTCGACCCCGGCTCCAGTCTGCCTTGGCCCAAGGAGCTATATTCACCGCTGCAAAGACAGAGAGTCGTTTGGGCTCCGCTACTTAGTTTGGCAATCTTGGCAGGTTTACCGACATTATGGAATGGACGACGCAGATATTCTGGACTTTCGACATCCTCATGCCACGGCCTGAGCTGAGAGCAGCAGCCCAATTGCCTGCCCTGCGTGCGCCAGTTACAAAAGCAGGTCCCTTATCACCGGATACGTCTCCAAGGGGCAGATCGCACCTGAGACGCACTCAAAAGCAGCCAAAGCTAGCAATCGCAACATGGAGATGCACTTGAGCAGATGACAATGGAGAAGTTCGTGAAGGACCAAAGATCTTTTTCCCGGGGATTTCACGCGGACCGGCCGTCTTCCACGTAGGATCGTAGGAGAGCTGGTTCCGATTAAGAGGTCGCTTCGTACGTCGACTGGAGAAGCCGGAGAAATTACAGAAAAGAAATCACATGTACTAACATCCTCATGCGTATAATCATGATGATAACCACCCTCCTACGTTGTGCTGAATATCTTTCTGATTCTAGAGAAAAAGCCTTCCCTCCAAGCCCTGGTCTAGACCGTCAGGCCTACTTTTTGCCCCTTTGTCTGAGATTCAGGGGTATCTCTGAGTTCGTTGGGACACCGGTCCCAGGTGATGTCACCGTTTCCTATTTTCATCCACTATCTGAGCCTCGGCCGCACCCGCCTTCAGGGGCTCGCTCTTTACTGTAGCCTTTGGGGTTCAGGGCTTACTACGGTTGACGATATAAATCCTGCATTACCCATAATAAGGAATATGCCATAACTCCCATAGTTTAGGGTCCTTAAGGTAGTGCAGGAGTTATAACATAAACAGTAGCAGCCCGCTGGGACTGGGTTCGGGTCCTCGGGCCTGTCAGCAGAGCTGCACGATTGGGAAGGCAACGGAAAAGTTATGTGTCAGAGGCTGGGCGCCCGGGCGAGGAGTTCGGAACCAGTCTTGGAGGTGTTTTCCCAGCCGCGCATGTATCTTTCAAAACTCATGGGGTCGAATTGTGCCTCTCCTGCTCAATAGTTTTAGGGAGTTGTAGATGCAGTGCAAGGAAGACATGGTTCGTGTGCCTCGGATGCAAGATGGTGAGACTATTGAGACGGCAATGCTCGTCTGTAGATCCGAAGAAATCATGTGCTCAATTTCGAGTTTAATGTCTCGACCCTGTTCGAAGCATTAGTCACTAGTCAGTCGAGGCTTGATGTCATCGTGGTTGGTCCAGATTGGTGCCTGAGATGCATGAGGTTTGAGGACCTTCAGTCCTCGCACCCGCTTTTGCTTTCTATTGAGTTTGCCGCCGCACGCATCTAAGGTTTATGACATTCGTGGCCTTGTCGGCCGCGGGAGAAGATGAAGGCAGCTGCAGGGAAAGGAGACCAGGATAGCATTGAAAAGGGTCACAAGCAGACCAGAGTCATGACTCAAACTTACTGGAAAAAGAGCAGGCGCAGGCTCATGGTTGGCCATTCCCCCTGAGTTCCATCGCTACATCTCGAACAATCTCAGTCTTGCTCCTCGTGTCTTAGCCGCCCTCGATGGTTGTCATACACGCGGTTACAATTTCTGCAACTACTACCGTCGCTGAGTCCAATCTTCGTTCTACTCCTCTAACTCTACTTGATTCAGTTCCAGTATCATGACTGTTTTCGGTCATCTCTGCGATGACGACTTCAGGGTCACCAGCAAAACCATGTGCTGCGGGGACTACTTGATATCTTATATATACTATAAGTATATGATATAATACCTAATCCGTACACCCTGTGCATTACAGCCCGTGGCTGGATTGAAGCTTCGCTTGTGGCATCCTGAGCAGTACAGTGTTCCCCATCCAGTCACTGTCTTGGATTATCGGATGGCATGCTCTGAAACAGGATGACTCCTGGTGACACGTTTACCTTCCACTGCGAGATGGCTTGTTTGCAGCACCATTGTGAGGTGTGCCTGAGAACCTGTCGCCCTGGACCCCAACAGCTAAGCTCTCAGACCGGAGGTGGCAGCACGAGTGTAAGCCGACTAATGCGAAGCATCCGAGTCGCCTGGAGCTCAGCCTGTGCAACCTTCGGGACCCGAGCAAAGGCCGCGAAGTATCAGGATCCTTAGATTAACCAGAAGCGCCCTGAAAACATGGTACCCAGTGGACTGACAGGCCAGTGGGTCGTCAAGGGTTTTGCAGGGTTTCCTCGGCCAGGGCGTGTTCAGGGTACCCACGACGTGCAGACGTCCGGTGCATCCCGTAGCGCTTGGCCTGCAATGACGCTGATGCTCATCTGGCGCGAATGCTCCCCATGATGCCGACACCTTGTTACTCTTCGGATCCCGAACGACCCGTTTCGGAAGCGCGCACCGGAGAGGGGACCACTCAACAATTTGCCGTAGCTCCTATTTGGGGTCAGGGCTGTCAGATTAATCACTGCGGGCTATCACAGTCCAATCTCTGATGAATTCACGGATTTGGGTAGTCGAGGACATATTCCAGCATACCAGAGCAACAAAGCCAAACTCAGTCCCGAATGGCCTGGCGTGACATACTGCAGCAAAGCAATGAAGTGTTTCAGCCAAGCAAGAGGCAAGAGATGGCACAGTCATATCTGATATAGCAACAGGGATGTATCACAGCCTAGCAAGACATGGCATGCTAGACATGGCAGGGCAAGCGAGAAGCTCGGATCCAGAGTAGGCCCGTATTCCCTTTTTTGGGGGTTTAGGTTCTCTTATAGCCCCCTTTAAACCACAAAGGGCACCCGTTTTATTCCTAGGTTACTCTTACATAGGTCTCGGAAGATAATCAGCCGGAATGCGCTCTCAGGTCCGCACAGTGCGGCTGCTCCGTTTGGCGCCCTTCCCGAAATATTCTGAGCTTTGGAGTACCATACTTTAATGCTTCTTTCTTAAAGGAACCATTATGAAAAAACAAGTGTATACTTTTTCACCCTTGTTACTTAAAAGCCCAGTATTTGCAACAGAGGGAACGGCAGACAGAGCAGTAGATGAGGCGGGATGGCCCCTTCGAAACTCTTCTGCTCACAAAATCCTACAGAAGCCCCTAAAAAGGCTTCTTTCAAAAAAGCCAGAAACCCAAAGCAAATTCATCATCCCTCGCAGAGGAGAGCGAAAAAAGGCTACCAAGATAGTTGTGAGGGTTCTGAGGTGGAACGAGGGAAACAGCTAGTTCATTCTTGAGGTGTTTAGAAGGATTTAGGGCTCGAGGTTTAGCGCTTACTTTTCAGGGGTTTGGGATGTTTGGGGCTTAGGGGGTTTGTGGTTCGAGGGTGTCAACTCAGGTCTGTGTCTGGGTGTGTGTTTTGGTGTTCAAGATGGTTCAAATCGGTTCATGTCGCTCGTCAGTCAATGCATCCACCGATCCCCTGCTCCCTCCGCCTCTCCCTGCCAGCTTTTTGTGCGCAGCCCGCGGAACCACGATGCATCCAAGGTGAAGTTGAAGAGGATCTTAGACATGCTGAAGGACAGGATCACATCTGAAGCCTTTGAGACTGCATGTGAGCGATTGCATCGGGTGTGAGACCACAATTAAAGGCATCTGCAAGGATTCCCTTGTGTCGAGTTCTCATGAAACTACACGAAACGGACACCTCAGCCAGTGTTCGGGTGAGCCCAAAGAAGCTGAGGTTGTGTTCATCTTGCTGAACATACTGAAGCTGATCATCCTGCTCCCTGTTCGCAGGTAAACGTTTTGCAGATCGGACTTGAAGAGAGCCCGGGGTTTTCGCCTTCACAACATGTCCTGGCGATGCCTAGCGGGATCCAAGCATTTCAACACCTGTCAAGCTCTCCTTAGCTTAGTGCAAAGTACGGCGAGGCTTCTGCTGGTGAACCATTTCATCGCGGCATTGTGGCAGATGGCCCGCATTGGTCTTGGGTGTTCTCGAGGCTTAGGGTCTTCGCAAGACTCGCGCGTCGGCCCCTTCCTTGGGGCCTTTGTTTTTGCGGCGCCTGTCAGTCGAAGCTGCGTCTTTCATTTTCAGATATATATGTTTGGCACCTGCGATCGAATCAGCCTTCTGTCACTGAGTCACTTGTCCGTGGGGGCGAAAACAAGGTACTCGATGGGAAGCTTGGGTGGCGATGGCGTCCCGAACTGGAGAGATGTTGCTTGGAGCGCAGTCGAATTGTCGCCGAAAGTTGGCGTGCTGTGGCAAAGGCAGTGCTGCATGTCCCAGGCTTACAACATGCGACCTGAGCAACAGTCCATCTACTACCGCTATGCTACGTCCTTGCACTGGAGCCTGACACAGTTCACTCCGGCAACAGCCTCTTGGTACGCTTCGGATGGGGTGGAGTAGTCTGAAGGGCATATATACACATATGTATATATATATATATATATTGTGGTAGAGTAGAGTACGGTCGGGATGGTGAACGTCGCAGTGGCCGGGTAGGACTATTCGATGGCAGAGGCATGTGCAGAGCTTTTATCGCAGTTTCAAAGCAGTTGCGCAATGCCTTTCCAGGTTTAGGCTGCAGGAACGTCCTCTGACCATGCCGATGCGTTTGCATTCAGGTAGACGTGCACCCGCAGAATATGGTCGAGCGCACCTTTGCGATCCTGGTCTTGATCTTTGGACTCGTCCTCTTCTCGTCAGGGCCCAAGCTGAGAGAGCAACATCGCGGCGATTCTGCCGCGCAAAACAATGCATTATAGGACGGAAGAAACGTTTCTGTCTATCTGTATACCCCATATACATATACATACATATATATATAGAGAGAGTCAGATACAACGAACCCCAACTACCATGGGAAAACCTGTTAAGGCCCCGATATCTTTATTAAGAGCACTTTGTGCCGAGTTGAGGAGCTTTCCGTTTGCTGAAGCCAAGCCGAAACTGGCAGCTGTGAGGTCTTTTATCAGTTCAATTACTGCCTCGATGACCCAGTTGCGCAACATGCAGGCCGGCATGAAAGCTGTGCACTATTTGTGGATTTGGTGGTGCCCTGTGGTCTTACGTTTCACAATCCTAAGACTCTGAAGTAAGAGGTAGGTGCCCTGTCTGAGCTGACATCTGGGCACGATATCTAAACCCAAAGCCCTGAGCCATCCTGAGCCACTTAAAGTTCACGCTTCATCCGAAGAGGAAGACAAATCGAAGCAATTTTGGCTGCTTCGTCGTGCCTTGGCTGGCACCAAGAACGCCGCGGTCTTGGGGGCAGTTCTTGCTGTGGAAAGTGGGAATTCCACAGCAGGCGGCAAGAGGAGGAAGGACACAGGTAAGAATAGAACCGAGAGTCATCATCCGCGGCTCTGATACCAGTGCCAAACATGTCAAGGGCCGGCAATACTACCGACGAGACATTGTGCTGCTGCATTGGGTTTGCAAGGATACCTGCAGCAGAAGCAGGTGCCGCCAGATCTGGGGTTCAAGGCTGGCATGGGGCTTGCAGAGTTCTTGGGGGTTTTTGTTCGAATGGGGCACACTCGAAGGACAAGCACAGCAGAAACCGGGCTGGTCCGCAAAGATAGGGAAGGGTCGCTTAGTCTCCGTGTGGCCCTTGCAAGAGTTTAGCCACAGCCGCTCGACTCCTGTTCAGGTCTTGCGCTACACAGAGTATGCCACGAGCAGCCATGGCGAAGCCATCCCAGCTCCTTGCCTCAAACTTGATCTAAACCGATGGAGGCTCTTCTCCTCGTGTAGCAGGAGGCCCGATTCGTCATGACTTCCGCAGGCGGCGAAAAAGAAACCTGCCACTCTTGGCATGCAGTTCCAGCGACAGTCCTGGCTAGCCGTGTTGGAGCACTTTCAGAGCAAGGCGCCGAGACAAGGCACCTAACGTACACAGGCGAAGTGGTGTCAAAGCAGAAGCCCTGCTGTGGCCCAGGAGCATAGGATCACCATCCTTGGAATGCTGACGAAGCAATTGCGCAGCGAACTTCGCTTCGTGACCCACTACAGTGCCTCTCCTGAATAATTCTTCCGTCCTGTGGCCTGACGCACTTGCACACTGTCAGTGCTGTATTGTTGTGTGTCGCTGTTGCCTTGGAAAGGTATCTTACTCCCACGGGTAGCGGTGGTTGTGGTGGTAGTAGCAGTAGCTGTACTGTAGCAGTGGCAGCAGCAGAAGCAGTAGCAGTAGTAGTCGTTTTGGTGGTGCTAGTATTGTAATAGTCGTCGGCGTGGTGGTGGTGGTGGTGGTGGTGGTGGTGGTGGTGGTGGTGGTGGTGGTGGTGGTGGTGGTGGTGGTGGTGGTGGTGGTGGTGGTGGTGGTGGTGGTGGTGGTGGTGGTGGTGGTCGTCGTGGTAGTCGCGCAGTAGCAGTATGGGTACCGGGAGGAGTAGTCGCAGCTGTCGATTCATTCTTTCTTCTCCATGCTTGCATGACCAATATTGGTTCGTCTTTGCTATGGCGGCAGCTGTTGCTGGTTTGTTGTTGCTGGTGATAGTGATGGCGATGGCGGTAGATGGTGGTGGCGACGATGACGGTTATGATGACAAACATGCAGTTGACGTTGGTGGTGACCACGGTCCTGATTGTGAATCTTCGTTCGTTTGCATTCAAGAAGATCTTTGTTTCAATGGTTTGTGCTGGCATTCAAGTCACAGGTCTAACAGAAGGTGTTCGATGCTTACTTAGTCCTTGCCGGTGGGCTGTTGCGAGGATGCTTGCGCAAGCACGGTTTCTTCGAGTTGGTCAGTGTCATGAACGAGTCCGTGCTTCACATGATGCCACCGAGCTGATCTGGGGATTGCTCTACAGGCCTTTCCAGTAGCATCAGCTTAATTACGTGGTCGCATTCCAGCAAATACCCAAGACAGGGCAGGTTGTATCCAAAAGCCACACAAGACCTTACGTTCAATTCCCTGGAATGAACCGTGCAGTTTGGGCTTAGGACACCTCTAGACCCAAGAAAGCATCTGAAGCGTCCATGATAGTCATCATAAGCCGTACAATCTTGGGTATTGGCACAGCATGGCCCTATGACTATTCTCAGTACTGTCATTACAACTCCTCCAACCGTGGGTTCGGAAGCACCCCCTCAAGAGCCATCTTTTCGGGCGAGTGTCTCTGTCGTTACTCTGAGGTCTCTACGAATGCTAGGCTTGCTCTTGAGGAATCGTCACCTGCAGCGCAGGAGGCGAAAGCAAGCCCAACTCCGAAGTCCCTAAAAGCCGAAAGCGGATAGAAAATATGTACGTACACATGTAGCATCTGTATGCCTAGAGATATTCGGTCAGATGCTATCTTCTCAGCGATTGAGGCATTGGTTGTGGCACACATGATGTATGTGCATATAAATAAATATATATATATATGAGCCCGATACCTTTAGGGTCTATTTAACTAGTCTGCCATATATACAATATAAGATCCCTATCTAAATCATATGTTCCTACATATTATATTACAAGACTTACGCTCTGAAAAGTTTGGCATTACTTAGGTCTATAATATTTTTATCGTTATTTCCGACATCAATGCAACGTTGAATCCTGCTTAATATACATTGTCACCTATACGAGCAACAGAATTTCATTAATTCGTACCTATAGCAATATCAGTACGAATCCCATGAAACACAAAGCAACCACACTCCAACCAAAATAATCATAGTAAGTATTGCTTACAACCCTGTCGCTGTGAATCCTACCTAGTGTAACTTAGTATCAAGACAATCGTTTATTAGGTATTGCATATACAATGTCAGTACCAATGCAGCCGGACAGGAATTACAAACGATGCAATCAAAAATAATTCTATAAAGTATCGGCTATCTGGTGCAATATAAACCTTCCTGTGCCTTTATTGAGACAGTTATTTTGGCACTACACTAAGCCATATCGTAATTTCTGTTCGACTGCATTAGTACTGACACGATATATACAATACCTAATGAATAATTATAGTGGTGCTAACTTACACTAGGTAGAGTTCGCAGGGACAGGGATATAAGCAATACTTACTATGATTATTTTGGTTGTAGTGGTGTTGCTTTCTGTTTGATAGGTTTTGTAGTGACACGGACCTAGATAAGAAGCAATAGAAGTACTCTGCACGTAGCGGATATAGCTTACGCTGAATAGTATTCGTAGTCGCAGGGTCATATACAATACTTACTATAATTATTTTTGATTGCATCGTTTGTAATTTCTGTTCAACTGCAGTAGTGCTATCTGTTGCAACTCGGATGCATAACCAATTCAGGGCTCAGGGCGCTATCCCAAACCTCAAGCCTGTGTGGTGCCTCTTGATCTAGTCTTCTTCGGCTTTGTAGCTCCTGACCATCGCAGTCAGCCGATCACCACTGGCAAAAAGCCATCGTTGGATCTTGGACAGTAACTGTCCCGGGGCCCGGAAAGATCACGCCATCGGACAGTTGTTGCATCCAGTCTTCTTAAGGTGTGCTGGGCTTAAAACCTTATTAGGTCACTACCCCTTCCTGCCAAAGGCCGAGCGGTTGAACTGCATACGAGGATAGTTTGCCTTGTTCGCATGGCGTGAAAGCAAGCTTCAGGCCCGGAAGCATTGTGAAAGTAAATGACTGCAGTCTTGCTGGCTTGAAATGTATTTTCGTGGCTCGTAGTTGTGTGATTGGAAACAATCATGTCAGTCGTGCTGTTTCGCAAATGTACTGCTTTACCTAGGGCCAGCCCTTCGTTCGATGCCTGAATCAAGCAGAGGCCACATGCCTTCCGCAGCAATCCCTTTCACAGTGAACCGTCGCGGCTCACGCTTGCTCGGAGGTCGGGTACAACAAAGCTTTCTCAAAACCTGAGTCTTGTTATGCCTAGAGATCAGTCCCCGCCATCCGTGCTTGCCTTATAGCTTGCAAGGCAAGCCATCTCAGAATCGGCGGCGCTGCTCGCGCCTGCCGGATAAGGGTATGCATTCAGGATACTTCGAACTGTCGTGCTAACACTGCGCCCCGCCTCCATGGGCTGTGATAAATCGCAGCGTCGGTGCTACTCCTGCCACGGAATGTAATAACACATGGTACTACTTTGCCCTATGGCTCTAAAGGGCCGGTTAACTGAGGCGGTTAGCAACCTCCCCATTTTACGGGGCGGTTGCGTCAAAGGGCTTTGTGCACGACGAGGGTTTTGCTAGTATATCGGCCCGACAAGAAACAGTTAGAAAGATCCTTGGAACCCATAGAAACTTGATCTTGAAACACATAAACACAGCCCAAACTTGGCTATACTGCATGAATGGGGCCATGTAGCAGCTTCACCTTTCAGCTGCATAGGGATGGCTGGCTTGCAGGCTTTACAGTCGAGATAAGAGCACAGAGAGAGGCTCGTGGCTGTGAGTAAATTAGGGTTGAATGATTCGAAAAGCCGAGCAGGATTTGCTAAGAATGCCATATAAGCTGGGTTTAGGCTGAACCCAGAAAACAAATCCAGATTCTTTTTTCTTGTTGCGAGCACAGGCTTTCTCGTTTCCGGCCCCCAGCACAGCTGTTCCTTAGGTGAAATCAAATTGCCGTCGTAACAAAAATTAGCTGTTGTCCAGTGTTGAAATGACAGCCGAGAATCCAAGATGAAGTCATCGCATGAAGCCAGCTGCAATCTTTGTCCTAAGTATTGGGCAAGACACCATGTTGGTATTTTACTCCCACTCCTCCAATGTGGACTTCAATGCCAAGGGTCCGGGTGAGCTTTCCCTTGCTTGCACGAAGTTTAAGCACCCCCATCTTGACCATCCATCGCGAAAGGCTGCCATGACCACGAGGTGATTTCAAAGCCGTACCTCACATGAAGGCTTATTAGATAAGGTAGTTCTATTTGGTCACTGCAGGTGCTAGGCCCCTGGCGCTTTACCCACCCCATCGAATCTTCGCCAGCGAAATTGTGATAATATCTCACATTGAGCCCTGATGATGACAAGGTTCACATGTGCATTCTAGTCGGCTGAACCACACAAGCCCTGGACATGTACATGTACAGTGAAGCCCAGTGTCGCCACAACCGGATGTCCCGGAGCAAATGGCTCATGGCCTCAGGTGCCACAAGATCAGGTGAAATATTCTAATGGACTCACCCAACACTTCTTGCAAGGAAGGCACATGGAATTTGGGTTTCATCACCCATGACAGAACTCCCGACCTGACCAAAAACACGAATCGTAGATAGTGAGATCAGGCTCTAATTGAAAAAGATGGGGTTCATTATTGCATGTCTCTTGCACCTGTGCGCAAGCTTCGTCAGCAATCGATGGCATTGTAAGAACCGGTGGCCAGCTTTGTAAATTTCGGCAGCATCAGATTCGGACCTCAGCTAGGGAGATGAGTGGATCCTATTCAGATTCAAAAAACAAAACCAATCGGACATGATTTGACCCAGCCATGTAAATGCCATGCTGCAAATACCGCGGTGCTGCTTCGAGTCGGCTATACCATTCAGCATAGGAGGACCTGAGTTCTGGTTTGGATTAGGGTTTAAGACTTGTGGAGTTTTTGCCCACCTATAGACAAGGGGTTCCGGAATTATTTATTGGTGCAGGGGTTTTCTACCAGGATGGGAGAACCAGGACCTGTGTACAGTAGACATTGAAACCACTTATTCTGATTGCTCACTAGGCTGCAAGGCAACAGCATGGATCCCGAGGTCGGACTGAGGGTGTGCAGGTGCAGCTTCAGTGCACTTCTCTGAAAGCCATTGAAGGATGATTCTGCTGTTGTAGGCCTTTGTAGCAAAGTAGAATCCATGCAATTTCTTCTTGAGTTGAGACGGCCGGAACCTCTTCTGGCTGCATGCAACCTTCTTTGCAGCCCGCCACATCTTGAAATCCTGAAACGCATTGTCAAGCACTTCTTCCTCGGTCAAAGTAGCTGCATCACCCCACAGACCAGCATCCATCAAGGACTTGATGGCCCCACCATTTGCTGTCAGGGTCAGGCCCAGATTGTTGACATGCATGCTACAGAACTTGACCATGGATATGTCGAACCCACGAATGAACAAAAGAGGGCCT